CTGGGAATATTTCCATGATAATGGAGCAATTGTGCTCTATTCTGTGAATTCTTTTCCTACAGCAGAATCTTTTGTTCGGCTTGTGGGAACAGAGATTTGTGTGACAGTTCAGTTCAATCGGTTTCCATGCATTTTAGGCGGAACACATTAGAAACATTTTCGGTCGGTTCGCTAAAACTCCTTGTCCTTGGGTGGAAAATCAAGTTTTTCTCATATAAGCTCCAGTGCAGAGTGATTTCGATTAAAAATGTTGTAACTCAACAATGAAAAAACATATCGGAAAATGGTTTCAACCAATATACTACCCATCAAATTCTACACAAAATTAGGTGAAAACTCGGCATAAATGGTAGGCTCAATCCATATAAAACTTATCACCATTTACATCGATCGTTGATGCCAGTGACGAAACCTACCTCATATTATAGAGCTCAGCAAGCTGAACCGAAACGTGTAGGTCTTCAGCCTTGTTAGAAACAAAGTTATAGCCATTTTACCCTTGCAGTGGAAAAATGCATTTTCATCATTTTTTCGGCGGATTTCGCGTAAGTTGTAGAATATCTGCTGACCACATTCCCTAATGTAGAACCTTGAATTTGGTATCAAATGAAAGAGCGCGTGGAGTTCTATATATTTCGATGGAGAAACGTTATGCTGCACCTCGGAATCTTGAGATACAAATTGCTGAAAAAATCGGTTTTCTAGGAAACCTTGTAATTTTAGAGTTTCTTTCAGAAGTTTTTCAACCATATCATTGGGTAGTCCCTTCAATTCGCCAGAAAATGAGATTTCTACGATTTGGGACGATCGAGTTACCGGCTTTTTAACATTACGAATATAACTTCATTCGCTTTAATGCCGTTTTCAATCTTCATCGTATTTTGTCCCCTACTTCCTTCACAGGGCGTTTTTTGACAATTTTTTCTATTTTCCATTTCCGACAGATTTATGTCAAGTGAGAAAAAGCGCATTCCGCTACTCCGTGGAGTGAAGTGGGCTTAAGGAAACTTTATTGAACTGAACTGTCACACAAATCTCTGTTCCCACAAGCCGAACAAAAGATTCTGCTGTAGGAAAAGAATTCACAGAATAGAGCACAATTGCTCCATTATCATGGAAATATTCCCAGCAAAAGAACATGATTGTCCCGTTTTGAGAACACGATTGTTCGATTTTTTGAGAAGAATATTGAAGGAAATATCACTATTTTATTCTAAAAGAAAACAACACATGTCACCACTCCGGACCATTATTCTGAGTGCCGAAGTTAATTGCAATATTTCCGAAAGCCCTCTGCGCAAAAGCCTAGCTCTCCAGAAGTCCATTATGAAAGTAAAAACCAAAGCGAATTGCTATCACCACTGGAATCAGCATGTCTTAAAACCTCTAGGCTCTGAGATTCAGCCTGAAATCTACATTTCAGTAGACTGTATCTCAGTTTTTCTTGTATTGGAAAGACGCTCATTGAAACAGCTACTCTTGCACAGGTAAATTATGTGCACAAACACTTTCTTTCTCAAAATACACACGCGATAGTATATAAGTCTGTCAAAAATGGTTTGGAAAGGAATGGCCCATTCCAGCCCATTCCGCTTTTTCTCCCTTGATAAAATGCCTAATCCTACTAAATGTTTGCAGGTATATGTTGGATTTGTATCGATTTGGTCTATGGGCATCATCTGACGATTTTGTGGCATGGCAGACATCGTTAGTGTCACTGCTTACATCGTGTACGCGTCCAATTGGTCTCAAGCAATATACCTGCAAACATTCAGTAGAATTAGGTATTTTATTCAACATGTACCTGGTCACGGACAAAAGGCGTTGTGAACCCTTGAGTAAGAGAAAAGGTGAAGGTCGTCCGAAAAAGGTTCGTAAAGCCTTGTTGCTAGCAAGTTAGTTTTGTCTTGTATATTTTTTCTTTAATTGGTTTGGCGATTAGTTTTTTCTATATATATTCTTCTTAAGTATATTGTTCACCTGATTGATTTGCTATTAAATTGGTATATATTCTCCTTGAATATATTTTCTTTAATTTAAATTTTCGTTAATTGATTTGGTGATCAAAAGTCACTTTTTTGATGATCAAAAAAATTGATACGCACATGAAAGCATTCAACTGTTGATCAAGTCTGGTCATAGATATGTATAATGAGTTTTATATATTTTCTTTACTTTTTCTGAAACATGTGATGATGTTTCGCAATAATCAAGAATTAATTAAGAAGGACAATGTACATGCATTAGGCATAAGACAGCTATAAGGACTCTTTATTAGAGAAAATAAATAATTATGACAACAGAAAACGATCAGGTAGATATGCTTTGACAAAGCTAACTGTTCCTTTTCCTTCACCTTCTTGAAACGGACTTTCATTGGCAATCATCCTTGCAATCGCTTTACCGCACAGAAAAGCATTCGGTGTACCATCTCCTTGAAAAACATAAAAATATTAAGTGCATATTAGACAAAACTGTAGTAATTACCGTTATAGCCGCCAATAATGAATTCGTTTCTGCCCTTTGAATTCGGTAATTTGCCCACAAGCGGTAGTTTATCCACTGTGCAAGCCATAACACCTGCCCATTCTTGTTCAATTTCGATTTTAGTTGTCATATTCGGATACCATTGTTCAAAAAACAATTCATGTTCTCTTCTAACTTCGGCATTTATCTCTCTATCATCCATACTTTTATGTTCACTTGCATTTTCCTTTGTACATCCTCCAAACACAATTCGATTATCTTTCAATTGATGGTAATATTCGCGACCATTATTTGCCGACATACCGTATGTCCAATAGCTTTTCTCCAACGGTTTTGTTATCATGCATTGACCACGAGTAGGAATTATTTTATCTCGAACAAAATTGATATATTCTGTCATATAAGCGTTTGTAGCATGAACAACATTTCTAGCCCAAATTATAGTTCCATTCTCTAAGGAAAGCTTACTAATTGTGGGCACCATTTCGATTGAATCAACTTTAACCACTTTTGCATTGGTCAGAATATGTACATTCATACTCAAAATTAACTTAATTATCCCATAAACTAGTTTTGCTGTCCATAATGTACCGCTATATTTCATCATTAAACCACCAATAAATTTGTTGCTATGAATGTTAGCTGTGCATTTATCATGGTCCCATAATTCAAAATTTTCCATTTTCATTGTACTTCTAGGATATTGTGTTACAAATTTTTTCACTAAATCCAATGAATAAACCAACTCTAACCACTCATCTTTTGTTCGAGCTAAAGCAAGATTTCCATCTTTCAAGTTTAAATCACACTCTATGTTATTTTCATTTACAAATTTTTCTAATTCGACAGCATTATTATGAGCAAATTCGACCATCTCATAACCCGTTCGTTCACCATAGCGATCGACATAATCGTACAACGAATCAGTATTTGGCCAAAGAAAACCTCCATTTTTTCCCGATGCTCCAGAACATAATCGATTATTTTTTTCCAAAATTAATATTTTGGGAAATTTTTCTGCATCATATAGTTTTCTGAGCCTAAAATGAGTTTATGATCAATTCTAACAGGAAACTAAATAGGCTGCAGGAATGCAATGTTTTTTCATTCATCATCCTTCTAGTGTTTAAGATTAAGAAAACCAGTTCGATATGATGAAAATACATTTTGTAGTTTTTGAAATGCCATCCTATATTAACAGCACAAATATCAAGGCGGAAAAGGCAGATTTCGCACTAGTTTAATTTTGAGCTCAATACATATGACACCGACAATTTCCAAGTTTTGTTGGATTTCCGTGGACTCATGGTGTTCCAGACAACTTCACAAAACTTCTGACATTTTTCGGAGTCTTTCTGAAGTTATCTGCAGTTTTTTCGAGAACCTCCAATTTCAAGGGTTTTTACAGATGTTTCTTTTATCCTATCGAGCTTTCTTAGATTTTTTTTCGGATTCTGTTGTACTCCCGTGGATTACACTAGCTTCTCTGGCGTCTCAGAGTGTCTCAAACTTTTTCTACGTTTCTGTACGGCTAACAGTACCAAAATAACCAGAAGAATCCGCATTCCTCCATGACAAATACTCAGTACACTATTAGAGGCACTTCTTTCAAGATCCTTCCTTATCTACACAGCAGAAAATTCGCAAAACTTTTGGACACATTTAAACGTCATATGAAAAAATTTATCATAAACATGCGTTTTCCTCCTAGACAACGCCGAATTTTTATTGCATTGGAAACGTTTGTAGTTTCAGGGCATTTAAATGCGTTTATTTTCTCGAAAAAAACATTTAAAACGGTTTCAACGCGTCAAAAATCACGATTTTAAATGCAAAACTCGTGAAAATAAACGCGTTTAAATGCGTTGGAACTACAAACGTTTTCAACGCCTTAAAAAACGTTGTCTAAGGGGAAAATGTGTGGAAATGATAAAGTTTTCAACGTCCAAAACTTTTGCAAATTTCCTGCTGTGTAATTTAATTCTTTCAAAACGGGATTATTTTTTGAAAAAATTACTCACTAACTTTGGGCCTCTTTTACTGGATGGTTAGTGTGGTGTAAGCGATTTATTATTTTTCCGTAAAGTAGTAATAGCTCCTAACCTGACGGAGATGAAAACGTTTTCTTTTTACAAAATGTAGCCACGACTCTACTCTATCAACGATATGAATTTCATGAGTTGACTGTTAGCTGTCAGCGAAATACAACTATTTTATGGGTGAGGATCGTTTTGTTTTGTTGAAAATTCGAGATTCTCTGTGAAAAAGATTCATAATTCTGTCTAGGCGCATTACTTTGACTTCAAATTCACACCAAAGACTTTACAGTATCTGCAGACTATCTAGCCAAAGTATGAAGATTAACTATTGTGTGGTTCTGAAAATTCATTGAGGAGGTGCACCCACAATAGAAACATACGTAGAAGGGCAACTAACAGTTGTTCTTTCTTCTATAGAATTTACATTCAATGTACATCGTAATCATGAAAAAATAATCATGGAAATCTATGGCTCCAAAAACCGCAGGTGAGACTTTTGTAAGAAAGATTACATCTCTAACCTTCACTATTACACTTATTTTGCGCCCTTTTTCACTCTCCATATATTTTCAAGCAAAATTAATAAAATATTTGAGATTAGCAGACAAAACTAGGTCGAACAGTATACTGAACACTCGATTTTCGAACGAAAAAATTTCATTGAGAATTTTTCTCTAGGTTAGGGGTCAGTGTGTAATCTTTTTTTTTTTTATTTTTTTTTTCAAAAATAATCCCGTCCTGTAGGGATTAGGAGAATCTATATAGGGAGAAAGAAAGAAAAGATAAACATGAGATGACAAATGGGGCCACCTATGATCTATGTGACCTTATAGGTCTAACAGTTTAATGTAAACAACATTTTCTTCTCTACTGGAACTAAAAATCTAATTCGTTCCTATAATTCGATAGGAGAGAGCTAAAAAGAACTAACAAAGAAATATTTCTGCGATAGGGTCTTGAGTCTCTTTGCTAAACGTTTTAGTTCGTTCAGGTAAAACTTATGGAATATCGTATTGTAGCTGGACGAAAAGCTATTCTTCTACAAACGATAATAGCTAGGGACCCGAAATCAAAACAGACGGATATTTCATGCCGTTTCTAAACAAGCGTAAAAAAATGAAGCGGCGTTTTGGTCACTTTTCGTTATAATTGGACAGTATTCCTGCGAAAAATATTTTCAATAATTTGCGCTGATTATCAACTGAAAATTGTTTGGGGCCATTTTTGCTCCAGAAATAGTCTCAATCTGTCCTGTAAATTACGATTATCTAAATGCTCACCAAAAAGCAGTTGAAACGCCACTTAATCCAGTTCCGACTATCACCACATCGTAGATCATATCGTTTTCATAATTCAATTTATTTGAAATACCATTCGGTTTTGTGGCTTCTAACATATTTGAATTATTAAATTTTGTGATAAATTTGTGTTTTTCATCGATCCAAAATGGTTTTGAAACTAATGACTTTTCCATGTTTTATTTTGTTTAGCACAACAGATAGAAAAAAGATGGTAACAATAATTGTAGTCCTTCGCTAATAATATACTTGCCACTTTCTTGGACGGACGATTAATTTCAACTAAAAAGTTTATTTTCTAGAATAACAGCAGAAAAAACACTTCTATGTAGTTTTATCAAAATCAAAAAGAAGTATGTCAAAAATATTTCTGTACTACAGACATACATATCTAACATTCTTCTCTCTTGCGTTCTGTACACTGTTTTTGCCTTCTATTCTGTTTTATTCACTCCTTACTGACCGTCATTACCACTAGATAACGGATAAAACATCGATATAGAAAGATTCCTTTTATAATCCATATTTTGGACTGCGTAACTCAGCCAGCATGCATCGTAAAAAATAATGTGTCGCCATGACTAAGAACTTTTAGACACAATTCTTGAAGTCATTTCAGGATCTGCTCTATTCAAAAGGTTGCTAAATTCTATGTTTTTACTATCCTCAATAGTCTTAATTGGCGACTTCTCTTCAATTTTGATGACCTATAAGTGGCACTAATACGTAAAATTTAACAAAATTTTTGGACCTTTTAAATTGTTTTAATTTCGAATTGATGTTATTCGTGGATAAAGATCCCTCTCTAAGTCCTTTTAACCTCTTTTCTACGCTAAGTCTTTTTTCTCTGACGAAAACGAACCAGTCCCACGCCTTGACTACGTTATTAATTCCACATCTGGGAAACTAAA